CTGTCCTCGGCGATCCTTGCCAGCAGTGGCTCCAGCCAGCCTTCGGTGCACTCCACGTGGGCATCCAGGAAGGTGATGACTTGACCTTTGACCTGCGAGGCGCCCAGCAAGCGCGCGCGGATCAGGCCAGACCTCTCGACGGTTCGGAGCACTCGCACGGGGACAGGCAGCGTCTTCACGTGCTGCTCGAGCTCCTCGCCCAGGTAGTCTGGCGGCGAAGCAGGCTCGGGAATTAGATTAGCTTATTTGTTGCGTATAATGTAAACATGTTTGTTTTTTGTTGTTCGCGTTTTGATGTGTGTGTAATTGTAAGTGTGCGTGTATAATGTTCCTGCTAAAAATTCAACAACTAGAATAATCTAATTTACAACTAATCCAATAAGCAGCAAGACCTTCATCAAACACTGAAATAATTCAAATATTCACTCTACAAAAGTGCTGTACGTATATAAGAAGAAAAAAAGAAGAAAAGAATAAGAAACAATAATAATATGAAGGAGGAGGAGAAGAAAAAGAAAAGAAAAGAAAAAATATAAGGCAATAAAATCTTTCTGTAACAGTGCAAATAATAATAGAATAATGATGATGATGATGATATTACCAATAATAATAATGACAATATATTATAATAATAACAATAATACTAATAACAATAATAACAACAATGATACCTAATGACAATAACTACCAATAACAATAGCAGTAATAACATTAATAATAGTAATAATGGTAATATATCATAATATAAAATAATAATAATGATGCAAAATCAATAGTAATAACAATAATAATGATGATAATAAGGATAAAAAAATAATAATACAACAACAATCACTAATAAAACAACAATAACGGAGAACAGAAATAATTCTCAAGCAGAGATAACAGACAAGGAAAGAAAAGCAAACTATGCGAAAATGATGAAAAGAAACAACAAGAGAAATTAACTTTTAAAAATAAAACCAATAGAATAAAGCAAGGACTAAAAGACAAAAAGGGCAAAAGAAGAGACTAAAGCATGAGAAGCGAAGATTGATTATTTGGAATATCATTACAAGGAGAAACGGTTAGAATGGAATAAAATAACAAAGAGGGAAAAAAACGGCTAAATAATAATATATAAGAAAAGAAAACCAAAACAAGTCGAATAGCATAAAGAAGGATAAATCACGAAAACAGAAAACAGGCGAAAAAGCAGAATAACTTGCAGAACAGAACAGAACAACAATACCCATACACAAAGAAATAAAGAAAAAATGACAATAAAAAAACTGGACAAAAAAAAGAACATCCGAACAACACACAAGCAAAATACCAACAAAGACACAACAACGTATAAAAAGCGCCCACGCCCCTTCCCATCCCCATCCTACCCCTTCCCTCCCCCCCTTCTCAACCTCCCTACCCCCTCTAACCTCTCCCACTCCCTCCCATCCCTCATACCCCCCCCCCAATCCTCACCTCTTTCAGACGCATCGTCCACGAGCAGAATCTCCTGCAGCAGCGGCCGGGGGGAGCGCTGGATGATGGACCAGACGGTTCGGAGCAGCGTGGACCAGGCCTCGTTGTGGAAGACGATCACGATGGAGGTGGTAGGCATCAGCGGAGGGTACTTCTTGGTCTTGCATCTGCGGGGAGGGAGAGGGAGGGGTGAGATAGGGGGAGGGAGGGGTGAGATGGGGGGGAGGGGTGAGATAAGGGGAGGGAGGGGTGAGATGAGGGGGAGGGACGGGTGAGATGGGGGGAGGGGTGAGATAGGGGGGAGGGATGAGATAGGGGGACGGGTAAGATGGGGGGGGGATAAAATGGGGAGGGGTAAAGGCGAGTGCGTGAAGGGGTGAGTGGGAGGGAAAGGGAATAAGTGAGTGAGCGAGTGAGCGAGTGAATGAGTGTAAATGTGAAAGAGTGCGAAGAGGAAGTACTTATAAATGTAAGTGTGTGGAGAAGGCAATGTGTTTATAAATGTGCGTGAGTGCAGGAAGGGAGAATGTGTAAATATCCAGCTGTATTTTACGATGATAATCTGTTTTAATATTGCGCCAGACAACGCTTAAATGCTTGTGTATTTTCATGTTCAAAGGACGCAATCCGGCGCTAATCAGATGCACGCAACACTAATGTCTTTTGCTGGAATTTCCAAGCAGGTTGCGATTAATCTCTGAATGTGCTTTTAAGCGATCATCGGCCCTGTGCCCTCTAGTATAATCTTTAATGTAAATATCATTCAACATCACAGTATACACCCCCAAATCCCGTGGGAGATCATCTGACAGCATATTTTGGGGAACGTTTCGAAAACTACAACAACAGCAAAACAACAACAATAACAAAAACAAAAAACACTAATAATAATAATAATAATAATAATAATAATAATAAAAGAAAAGATTCGCTCTGAGTAAATATCATTCTGGCAAATATCTTCTCCCTTTTTATCAGTTTGATCTTCTCACACAAACCAATTCTCGGCTCCACCCTGTTTCCTTATAACCCTAACGCAGAACTGAGCCATGATTAGTTCCCCCCCCCCATATTTCCCCATTCCCCCATTTCCGTCCCCTACCCTATCCCATTGCCGGGGGGAGCCACTGTTTACACAGCAGATCGCAATCATGTCCTTCTTAGGAATATCAGGTAATAACTGTGAGTGAGTGAGTGTGTGCGCACGCGCGCGCGTGTCCATGTGTATGTATGTATGTATTACGCATCAATGGATACCTACGTATGTAAGTATGAATAAGCATGCATGATGACTAAAAGAAAAGACAACGAAAAGTTCAATTTTCAGGTAAGGAAAAAAGTAGGGAGGGAGGGAGAGAGAGAAGGAGAGAGAGGGAGAAGGAGAAGGAGAAGGAGAGGGAGGGAGCGAAAGAAAGAGAGAAAGAGAGAAAGAGAGAGAGAGAGAGAGAGAGAAAGAGAGAGAGAGAGAGAGAGAAGAGAAAGAGAGAAGAGAGAAGAGAGAGAAGAGAGAGAGAGAAAGAGAGAGAGAGAAAAAAAAAGAGAGAGAAGAGAGAGAAGAAGAGAGAGAAGAGAAGAGAGAAGAAGAGAGAGAGAAGAGAGAGAAGAGAGAGAGAAGAAGAGAGAGAAGAGAGAGAGAGAGAGAGACCGACGAAGAAAAAGAGAGAGAAAAAAGAAAGAAAAAGAAAAATAGAAAAAAAAAAATAATCCCAGACATACAAAGACGGAAACTGACAAGTAAAAATCGTGTCCCCGGGATCTGCCTACAAGTTGTTAGCTGAACAAAGTCGGAATCTCGGCGCGTCAGGGGTGAGTGGGGGAGGGGGGTAAGGGGGGGTAAGAGGTGCTGGCCTAGAGTGACGTGGAATGATGTGCCTTTGAGCGACGTGGCAAGTGTCATGTCATGTGGTGTGTGCTATTTCCGAGACGTGATGGGTGATGTTATCGAGGATTTAATTAAGGATGATGTGGGATAGCTTTCTGGGCTGTGTTGTTCTCGAAGTATGGCGTGTGATGGCGTTCTTCACTGTGATGTGCTGGTTGATGCGGTCTTTGGTATGGCGCGCGTTCCACACAGAGTTGTGTGACGTATGAATGAATGAAAATATGGCATGGTGTTATGTGAAGTGCTGTGTCAAGATGTAAAAGTGGCGACGATGAATGACGTAACGAGGTGCTGAATGATGTTAAAAAGGGTAAAATGATAAGACAAGGCGTACTGCATGACAACCAAACAAAAGTTTGAGGAGAATATCCAGTTAACTAACAATATTCATTTAACTAACATAATAATTTATTGTCTGAAAAAAAATATCCTATAACTGCGCACAAAGCAAACACAAATATCTAACTTTCAGTAAGACTAACATCTCTAGTTAAATGAAAATTGTAAAATAATTAACTAAAATACTTCGTTTGTTACATGAATATCTGAATATTTTCAAATGCTAACATTTATAGATATTTATGTGAAAATGTGATATTTTTCTCGAACATTTGACTGGTTTCAAAAGCCAACAATTACACAAATTCATGTAAAAATGTGATGTTTCTCCAATAAAATGGATTACAGAAATAGAACAAAACCCTTTTCAATGATACAAATGATGCATTGGATGTACATGTTTTGATTTTATATTTTTCCATCAATCAGTATTTTACATAATCATAAATTAACAAAGGAGGCATTTTATATTTGCGCTGGATAATCCCCTGGAGGTATAACTAACACACACACACACACACACACACACACACACACACACACACACACACACACACACACACACACACACACACACACACACACACGTACGTGTGTGGTTCTCTGATATGATCAGGAAATTAATATCCTTGTCAATGTAAAATTATGGTATATCGTCACACTTTAACAGTACACCATATCCGTGCCATAAATGTAGGCCTGTTATACAGTCATATGCGTACATAACCCTACGAGCGTGTACATGTACGTGTGTGACTGCTTGTGTGTACGTGCCTGCCACCACACCCGCGGGCCCACGCGAGGGGGGAGGTGTCCGCTGGCAGCTGTTGCTTGTTTACGAGCCACAATATGAAGTGAACCACAAGCTCGCTCCTAGTCGTTACCTGCACACGCGCCACCCCCGGACGCACTTTTCTCGGATATTGGCATTTTGTGGTCAAGCCCCTTTTTATTTATCGATTCAATTTCCCGCCTCGTTGCCGCGCCCTCCGCCATCGCCGCCGCACCGCCCGCCGCAGCCACCGCTAACCTCGTTCCCGCCACAGGACCCGCGAGAGGAAGACTGTCGCGGCATCTCTCGGTATCTTTCATCCTTTTCTTTATTCCTACTTTTGTTTATGTCTTTATTTCTTGCTGCTGGCGTGCGCGATGCTGCCGTGGTCCATTTTTTTTTTTTTTTTTTTTTTTTTTTTTTTTTTTTTTTTATCTGTTGTGGATAATGTTTTACTTCTTGTTTGTTGATGTTATCCGTGATGGTATTTTTTTATGGCGTTAATAATATTATTGTCTTTTCTCTCCGGAATAAAAAAGGAACAAGTGATAAACGAGAGACAGATGAAAGTGAAGGAAACTTAATAAACTCTAGACAAAAATGAAGGGAACGGAGGGAGAGGAGATAGGACAGAGTAAAATGAAATAAAATAAATGAAGATAACGAAGCAAAAGAGAGAGAACAAAGGAAAAGAAAGGAAGAGAAATGGAGAAAACAAAGCAAAAGAAAATAAAGGAAAATAAACGAAAGATGAGAAGCGACAGAGACGGAATATGACACAATCAAGAAAAATAAAAAAAGGAAAAGAAGAGAACAGAGAATTGAGCAAAAGAAAGGGAAAGGAATTAAGGAAAGACACGGATAGGAAATAAGAAAAAAAGGAAAGGAGACAAAGGAGCAAAAGAAAAGAAAAACAGGAACGGAAAAAAGAAGAGATAGACGAGAAAAAAAGGAAAAGACGTGAAACGAAGAAGAAAAAAGAAACGAGAAGATGGACCATAGAAAGATAAATGCAGAGAGAAAGCGAAGGAGAGGAGACAGTACGGAGCAAAAAGGAAGGGAAATGAAGAAGAAATAAAGAGAGGAGACAAAAGAGACCAAAATAAAGGAAAGGAAATTAAACAAATTAGAAAAGGGAAATAAACCGAAATCGAAACAGATAGTAAATATGTGAATGAATAAATATACATATGAAAGAAATATGAGAAAGCCGATAAGATGTTTATGAAAAAAAGAAAAAAACCCGCATCTACTGCAAGAAAACAATCATAAATACATACATACATACATACAGACACACACACACACACACACACACACACACACACACACACATATACACACACACACACATACACACACACACACACACACACACATATATATATATAGGTAAAGGTCAAGGAAATTAAACACTACTACTAAATTAAGTGAATAAAATGCCTTTTCTATCTCCCAGCATTTAATTTTCTCTTCTCACTTTTTCCCCCCTTTTGTCTTCCCTCTGCAGTTCTCCTCTTACATTCCACTTTCGCTATTTCTTAACTCTTTCCCCTCCATACACTTCTTTTTTTTCTTTTCTTTTTTTACCCTCTTCTCCCCTTCGTCCGTTTCCTTTTAAAATGACTTCACTTGTCTTTTTTTTTTTTTTCTCTTCTTCCCCCAATTCTTCTTCCTCCGTTCCCCTTCTCTCCTTCACGCTCTTCGTAGCTTTCATTCTCACCTCTGGTTCTGCTACCTGTTCCTATCTCCTATTTTCCCTCTTCCTTATTCGCGTCTCATCGCCCACTTTATTCCCTTCTCCTCCTATCATTATTATTCCTTTTTTCCGATTCTCCCTCTAATCTCTCTTTTTTTTTCTACGTCTTCCCATCTTAACCTCCCTCTTCCTCTCTCACATTTTTTTCTTCCACTTTCTTTCATTCTCCCTTTACCCATCTCTTTCTCCCTCTTCCCACCTCCTCCATCTTACTCTCCCTCTCTCTCTCACTCCCCTTCTCCTTTCTTCTCTCTCCCTCTTTCCTATCCCCCCTCTTCCCTTCTCCCCCTCCTCGTGTCTAACCTTCCCTCTACCCCCCTCCCATTCTCATTTGTTCCTCTTCCTATCTCTTATTCCCTTTACCCTTCTCTACCTCTCCTTTTCTTTCGTTCCCATCTCTTTTTTTCTCTCATCT